TTTTTCTCTCCTACCGCCCCGACGGCAGTAATCGAATTTTAAACTCCTCCGGGCGAAAGTTTTTTTTTTTTTATATAGCGCGGTTTTTCGATTAAATTCCCGTAGTTTTAATAACAATAAAAAAAAGTTAGATATTTGTTTTTCGCCTTTTTTTTATAATTTTATTTATTTTTTTTTATATTGAAACCATTCTTCGTAATCCGAGTTAGACTTCATTAATACACTATTTTAGGTTAGCCTTGCGTACGGGATCGAGGTGTTTCATCCTTTTGAGATTTTCTGAATAATTTCTCAAAACGCATAATTATCAACTCCTCTATACGTCTAGGATGAAAAAAAAATAAATCCAACACGAATTAAAATAATAATTGTTAGTTTTATATACAAACAATGACCGTCATGGTATCATAACATTTGTTCTCCGTCCGTGGTTTTTATTCAGATCGACTTGTGCAACAACGCATCTTGTAATTATTGATCGTAACATTTAAGTACAGAAAACTGTGTTATTATGTTGAAAATTATCATTTGAAAATCTAATTCAAAAAAATTTAAAAAAAAATTTACTGAGCAAATGAAAACTTTAAAAGTTATGAGCTGTTAAAATGTTGAGTCATATATGACCCGATGATATTAGTTACGTAAGTGAAAATCAGGATAACAGTTTAGTGTTAATAATAATAATAATAATAGTAATAATAATAATAATAATACTGTTGAAACGTTTCGAATCTTATATTTCACGTGATGCTATTGCTAAATACAACCCCACGCTTATTAAGTTCAGGTCCGCATATATATCGCGACCCTCTGAATCACTCTTTTTTACGTATATTTTAATTTCCATGACGAAGAAAATATGATTACTTATAATTAATTACATGTGAGTGATAGGCGAAAACAGCCGATCGATATTTTGACCGAGCATTATGAATGACGACGATCGATCTCTTTTCATTTCTCTCATTGTATGCTTCTATTCTGGCGGCGTATTGTTATGTTATTATTATTATTATTATTATTATTATCACTAATCACCCATGTGGTACATAAAACGTAGCAATGTGCTGCATTTTTTTTCGAATATATTTTTAATTATTGTATACAAAAATAATGTAACTCACGAAACAGAGTGTGTGTGACTATTGCAATCGTCATCCACTATTTTCAGCAAAATATATTGATGATTTTATACACCATGGTGTTCAGCACCAATAAGATGTAAACATTATTAGATTTGAGGAGATATTTCAAATTTTAAAGTTTTACTTTAAAATATAAGACGACTTTAAACAATCTTCACCGCTCACTCTGGTATATATTGATTAAAAACCGTTTAGAAATCAATTGTAAAATATCATAATCGGAAAACGACGGTGCTAGTGAGATACGAAATAATAATGTCCTTCGAGTGGTTATCGAACGTAATAAAACGCTTGTGTACATATTTTCGAAAAATAAAATGTAAGATTATTCTAACGTAACTCTTAAATGATACAAAGATTATGTTTTTAGGCTATCAAATTAAAATTTTACGATAAAATATTACGTTTCGCTAATATTTTAAGATTTTTATCGTTCTTGATTGCAATAAGTCCCCGAAATTATTATTTTCTGTATTACATCGGCATAACATTCGAATAAAAAAGTATCCTATCCTAAACACATATTATGTAATGATAATAATTACAATCATAATAGTGTTCAGAGGGTAAGCGGAAGTCGAAAAGGACACTTATTGCCCTCGTAGTGATAAAATGTAAAATTTGGTTAGCCGTGGTGGCACGAGGCTCTAGTTAATTATTTTCACCCCTGGCGATTCTGCACGGCGCAGCAGTTTACGATGAACCTTTGTTTTTATATCCTGACCGAAACAACTGTCGATTTAATCAACAGGACACGTTAACACTCAAATAGTTATTTACACACACACACACTCACATACACGCACTTAAATAAGCAATTAAAATGGTTTCAAATCGCTGTAAAAAGAAAAAAAAAACTAACAATAAATTGAGCCAACACGCGTTTTCTTTTCGATGCTGTCGACATTGTGCAAACAATAGCAACAACAACAACACAACGAATCCTCCACTAAAAAATTAATCGACTAAACTGTGAGTACTTAATATTTGTTAAAGTAACGTATTGAGCTACTGTTTTATGTTTCGAACTTACGAGTTCCTATCGGACATAAAGTAAAAATATAAAGTAGCGATCGGCATAATGTAATTGTAACGATAACAATAAAATGCTTCGAGCTATAAGTTACATATGGTTCGTGTACCTTATCTTAATACCAACTTTGTATGTTGTACGTTATGGAACGTTTGGTGAATAAAGACCAATAACCAGCACGCACAGTTCAATATTCATAGCTACACGTCGCGGATGTGAACTATGTATTTTCATATAATGTTGTCGTGAAAAATACGTTTTTCTTGAAAACAAGTTACCCTTTAATACTCTAACAAATAATATTCTGGAATATTATGTTGTTTCTTTTTGTTTTCTGATTATAACTTAAGTTCATAAGTTATTCATGATTGTCGATTTTATTGTTCGATTTACTTTTTTATACGGTCAATCATATTTTATTTAAATTATTCGAATGATAGAACTATTGTTTCGAAAAAGTTACATAGTTTTCTTAAAACTCTCTTTGACGCTCTTTAATAGTACACGTTTCGGTGTTTCAATTTTTTTTTCTTTCACTGACGCCATCGAAAGAGACTTTAAATCTTAAAATTTATGTATTTTAAATCTTCATATGACCGAATAAGTCGATTCACCACGATGTAACCAAACTCGACATTTAGTGCGTGATCACAACGTAAAACTGCCCAACGTATCTTTTCGTTACCCCACATTAACAGATTTTTTTCCATTATAAAAATCGTATATACGACTAAAAAAAAATAAATAAATAAATATTTTGAACAACCAATGCTCTATGGATACTATGGTTTTGTAACTTTTTGAAGATAACAGTTCTTTTCTACAAAAAGTTTACTGATTCCTACACTAAATTGTTATAAAACAGACTCGTGTTCCATTAAAATATATTTCTGTTAAGTTATTATATTGTTCGAACTTCTGAAGTGCTTTTCACACGCCAAACTAAATGTCAATCGTCGTCCAGCGTATGGCCAGCGTATAATTTATTGACCGGTGACGCGTAGCCAGTAATTTGACCGTATTGTACTATGACTGTACGCAATATTATTAATACATTATGCAGTGAAACCTCTCAATAGCCAACATGCTTGATCACCAAAATATTGTCCAATTTTCGCAGGTTTCCGTTATTAAATGGGGATGCATTTTTTTAAATTCATAAAGGGTCAATTCTAGAAAAAAAACACATATATAAGTTAAATTAAACAATGTACCATTTATGGATATATGTATAATATTATTCATATGTTATTATTAAATATAAATGTTTACATTTTTATATTTAAACAAATTATTCTTAATTATAATTATTTGAATTACATATATGTTTATAAATTATTATTAATTATTATTATTTAAATTATATATATATATTAATCGCCATTTTAGCTTAGTTAACATTAAAGCTGACAAGTTATATTAAACATCAGTGTATTTATGGACAATAAATCTTTAGAAACTAAAAATGTAAACTATTTAAAAAAAATGTTTTCTACTTGAGTAATTAACTTTAGTAGTACATACATTTAAATGTATTTATTTCAACCTATATATTTAACGTCTATTGTGTATTAAAAATAATAAAATAATAAGTTATTTTGGTCACATCCACGGCACGATAAATAAAACTAACACGTGTAAATTTATTGTATAAACATTTCCGATGCCATCTTTGAGATCATATCGCACCTGACGTAAATATATATATAATTTTATCCAATAAAATATAAATTTATTTAGTTAAAGTGGTTGATAAAGTTATTTTGATAATAAAACAAGAATTTTCATAATAATAAGAAAAATGGGATTATGCAAGCTAAAATGACGATTCAGGCTTCTGTGTGGTATTTCGAATGGAAACAAAACAAAACTAAGTAAAAAATTATAATACAAAATCTTTTTATACAACTACTACGATAATATAAGTTCGCTTAACATTTCACGTACGCAAATCAACTGTGGTTCAATTCGTTTCCAGTCCGGTGCTCGAAATCAATGGCATAGAGAAGTAGTATTTTAATGTGAATATTTTCGATAAAAAGGGATTGAAATTTATTGAAATATTTTTAACATTAAAAATAAAATTGCAATGCTCCCAATATGACCTTATCCATAATTGTTCAAATATTTATGTTTAAATAATTGATTAATATTTTAACGGCAGTCAACCGTTTATTAGTTACGTTCAAATTGTATATATATGAGAACAATCACTTATTACTTTAAACAGCGTGTTTGGGTTTCAAAATGAAAATTGTTTCACGTCGCGATCATGTGCAACCTAATCTTTGACATGTCACCGCCGTCAAATTGAATCGATCCGTACCTTGATCATAACAATATGCATAAATATGATTTTATTTTCTACACCCGTTATACAACAATATCCTGATGAATTCGCAACCGCCGTGAGTATATTATTGTGCTATATGTAATTACAATAATATTTTATAATATTATATATTATATAAGTGTAAATAAAAGTAAATAGTTTAACGCGTAATAGAATTGTAGCAACAACCATCAACCATTGGTTTTCAATGATTTCGACGTTCTCTGTTTGATATTTACTAAGGTAGTCCTGAAATCAACAGCTACACTCGATTATTTTGAAATACGTTCTTCATCCCACAAAAATAAATATATACTATTTCCAAGCCCACTAAGGTGAAGAATCGTTTTACCCCTCTTGATATATGCCAATATTAGCTATATTCGTTTGCCGGACGGTTTCAACCACATAATACCTGATACCATTGTCATTACATTGTGTCGTGTTTTATTCGATAACGTTTCATTTTTTTCTTTCTTGACTTTCACAGTGGCATACCTAAACATGGGACAGTTGTTGGCCACGATGGGCCGTTGCGAAGAAGCGGAATCTGTGTTGAAATTATGTGCCTCCCTAGACGGCTCGCTTTCTAAGGACCCTGTGAACCACGAGACCAGTAGAGTATCAGCGTTAGTTACGCTGGGCAAACTGCACGCCGATCGGGGTCGGTTTTTGGATGCGGTACAAGCTTATAAGCACGCAGTCACAGTACTGCCACCGTACTATAACCCTCGAGTAAGTATTCGCGGTATTATATTACTTTTTTTTTTTTTGAGCTTAACCCTCAGATGTGCATGGTTTATAATATTTCCATGAATGGATTAAAATGTTTTCGCTTTGATAGGTTTACAGAATTTTATCAAATAAAAATCGTCGACAGACGATTAGTCACGTGTACGTGATAAAAACTATTCTATGGTAGGTGCACAAAAAAAAAAAACTTAGAAAGAGATATAATTTGATGTCTACTCATTATAATATTTTTGGTGTTATAAAAATTTATTTTATGGAAACATTTAGTAACGCATGCTGACGTTTCCTACTCATTTAACTTCCTCTATTCGGATGATAAAAATAAAAAAATAATGACAAAAGAGATACGACTGAAAAAAAAAGAAACAAGATCAAATTTTCAACGTTGAAAAGCAGTTTCTTTTGTGATGACCTAGTCGCCAACGTGCAATGAAGAAATAAAATAAAAATCGGTAGATGATTTCGCGAACAACCTGTGAAATATAATACAGTGGTACAGTGGACCAGTATAATAAATAAGTAGTGTTCAAAAAATATCAATGAAAATATATATGTTCATAAATAAATTAATTAATTCATAAACATGTCATGTAAACATATTATTATAACTAATGCTTGAAGTAAGAAATATTTTTGTGAAATATTTCACAAAAAAGAGAAACATTGAATTTTTTTCTAATATAAATGTTCATGATTGTTATTTATTAATTATTAGTTATACTCGTACAATCTAAAAGTTCTGAGTATAATCATTGATTTCCTTAATATTATAAAATTTTGAAGGTAATTTATGATAATTTAACATAAAAATAAAACTTATTAAAAAATGTATATTATAATACTGAAATATCTCACACATTTAAATTTTATAAAATTTTCAAACACTAACTAAAACACTCTGCGAAAATAGAACGTTGTATTATTATGTAATGGGTATCTTAATCATTAGCACACAAATTAACAAATCTGGAAGTATTCGAAAAAGAAAGTATGAATACGTATTATTATGTAGATTCATCAAATCCTATCAGTACCTATAGAGCTTTATTTTACGGTGTGAACAATTATTAAAAACTTTAACGCACAAATCCTTTTATGGTTAGTGCTGTATAACGATTTTTTTAAACATTTTGAGCGGATCCTCCTCTTCCCTTCAAAAAAAACAAAAATTATATAAACATAAACATGGGAGGAAACACATTATTTCAAATCACTTAACCGTTGGTCGCAATATTATTATTATTTTTTTTTTTTTTACTGTAAATAACCAAAACCCATAATATTTTTAAGACTTTATACGTAATATGTTCTAGCTCAAACTAATGTTACATAAAACTGTTCTGTAATCGCTAACGGTACAACAATATAAATATTGTTATCAGCGGTTCCCAACATTTTCGAGACTATTACTCGCAAACCGGATAAGATATTAGTAAATACCCCTACCCTCTAAAAAAAGCATTAGTGCCAGTTCTAACGTAAAACTTACATTATTTGGTTATCGGTTATCGCAATCCAATTACATCGATTTATAGAACAGCAACGATGGATATATATATTATGTAAAGAAACATTTAATTCTTTTATTTTTCGTTCGTACTAATGTAAAAAAGGTTTGCTTCGCAGAAGATAATTGACAGTAGGTACACTATATAAATATAATTTGAAGATTATAAAAATAATAACAATAATTATAATAAAAAGTTATACATTATAAAATTAATATGCAATAAGAACAAAAAAAAAAAAAAAATTAAAAAAATTAATTTAGTCTTTACTTCTCAAAAAATCTTATTTTACCTCTTGGATGGTAGTTAGAGCATGGACCAATTGCGCCTAAAACAAAATTTTTATACTAGGGTCATATACTAATTGCGCTGCATATATTTTAGGGAGTGTACCAATTGCGCTCTTTATACTTTACGGTCAATATACCAATTGCGCTTGTATTCAAATTATATTATTCTAATTGCTATGCTAAAATTAATATTTAAAAAATTATTATTATTGTTAAAACCTGCAAAATACAAATATTATGATTACCATAAACTCAAAATCATATTACTTTATGCTTTATGCTTTAATACTTATTTATGCTTTGTATATTTTATAACAGTGTATTATTATATATATATATATATATATATATATATATTAATATAGGGAATTCTATGAAACGTTATTATTATTATGCACATATTTTGATCACGGAAGTATGCATTTGAGTGATGGACGAAAACAAGTTTTCATTATTATCGGATATATTTTATCAGCCTAATTGTTTCATTACACACAATATATACTGTAGATAGAAGAACACATTGATGATACCCAATATAAATATAATCATATTGATAGGTACCCAATACTTATGTCTTGTTAGTCATTTAGTATTAGTTTGAGTTGTTTGACGTTACAATATGGATCGGTTTACATAAGCTTTTAGTGAAAAAAAGTAAACCGTTATTAGTTCTTGATAAGATTAAGTTTCGAAAATGTACTATCTCAAAAAATTGAATAAAATGGAGATGTACAATTAAATCGTGTACTTTAAATTTTTTATGGGATGTAAGTGAAACGGTGCTTTTAAAATCTAATTTTGACCATAACCACGAAGCAAGTTCAAATATTAATAGACAAATTGTTGCTAATTCATTAAAAAGAAAAGCAACAGACCAAGTTATAACACGATCACTAAAATTTATTCGGAATGAAATGCAATCAAGTGCGTTAGATTTGACAATAAACGATGTGCATTTTATACGACAAAGCGTTTATCGTACTCGTAGAAAAACGCTACCACCTTTACCGAAAAATGCTATCGAAGTGCATACAGCTTTAAATGATTTGAATACGAATACACACAAGGGTGAGAATTGATTGCTTATAAACAAGAATATGTTGAATATAATATGTTTTTCTACAAAATCAAATTTACAATTTTTATGTAGTTGTGATAAAATATTTGTTGATGGAACATTTGAATTTTGTTCTAAATATTTTTACCAACTTTTTACGATACATGGTTTGAAAAATGGGCACTATATTCCACTTATATTTTTTTTACTGCCAAATAAACTATCAAGTACATACGAATATTTATTTCGAGTTTTAATTAATAAATGTGCAACATTCAATCTTGATTTTAATCCAAAAACAGTCGTTGCCGATTTCGAACAAGGTATACATTTTGCAGTTAAACAAGTCTGGCCTTCAATACTTCTAGTGGAGTGTCGATTTCATTTATCACAAGCTTGGCGGAGGAATATTCAAAGTTGTGGACTACAAACAGAGTATAAAACCCCTAATTCTGAAGTAGGAAAATGGCTACATTTAATTTTTGGTTTATCACTTTTTTCACACGAAGAAGTGGAGAATGTGTTTGTAGAAGAAATAATGACGATTCAACCAATTAATTCAAATCCAACCAAATTCACTGATTATCTTATTAAAACTTATATGTATATTATCTAATTCTACATTTCCTCCGAAACTGTGGGCGTCCAATTCAATAAGTTGTGAACGTACTAATACGTGTGAAGCTTTTCACGCTTCATTTTCTACAAAATTTTATTCTCCCCATCCAAATATTTTTGCCTTTTTAAAAGTTATTATTGAAACGCAGACTAGCACGTATATTGTAATAAATATTATAGAACAAGAAAAATATATTTCAAATAGAGCATATTTAAAAAAAAAATTAATAATTCATAAATCGATAAATACAAATATGGCGAAATTTTTAAAAATTGTGTGTTATCATTATTGTAAAAATGATAACAATCAACAATGACAATCAACTTGTGACCAGTTAATGTATCCACCTATTAATTTATTTATAGGTATTATATATATTTTTTAAATCAGCATATTATTATTATTATACTTCGTGGTAATAATAAATATATTACGCTGTAAACTAACCAAATTATATTATTCTAAATTGTAGTGCCATGCTCAAATTAATATTCCAAAAATTATGATTATTCTTACCTTAAACTCAAAATCGTATTATTATTATTATATTTGTGATTTAACCACCTATTCTCTTAATATTATTAATATTATTTTATTTTAATTTTCATTAACTTAATTGTATAAAGCCTATACATTTCACCGATTTGGAAGACTTTTACTTTTAACTCGCAAAAAAATCGGTTATTAAGTTTTTCTTAGGTAATGTAAAATTTATTGAGCGCAATTGGTCTATCGACCCTAACATTTTTAGAGCACAATTGGTATATCGACCCTAAAATGTTTCGAGCGCAATCGGTAAACTCCCGGTAGTTACCCCCAGGTTGGAAACCACTGATTCGTATCGATTTTCTGTGGTATCGCTAGTGCTTATTTCTGAAAAGAGATGTACGTTGTATAGATCTCCGTTCGGAGCGGGCATTGACTTTTCTCCCCACACGGTATCACACTACCCTAAACCAGAACCACCCGTATACATTGCCTGTCAAAAACGGTTTTTGCTAGATTACGTGATCCGTATTGCGCGCGTTTACGATGTGTTGTAGACACGGAGTACACAGATAAATTAAATGACAATCCGCATAGGGGTGAACCGGATAGAATTGCTAATTTTATTTATTTTTTTAACTATCAACGGGCACGTATCGTTTTGCTAAATCGATAACGGAATTAAGCCCATCGAAAGAATGAAATAAAACGCTTACATGTATATCATATGCACGTATACGTACGTACATATATTACGCGTAATAAGTATGTATGCAAATTTGTCCATATATACATTCAAAACTACACAATAACAGTAAATCCGCTTACCAGCGACACTAGCAACATAATATTATAATAATCGACTAGATTCGGTGTTAACCTTTTATTCGTTCCCCATTTATGTGTCTGATTTAATATTTCCGAGAATAAAAAATTATTTTCATCGCAAACTCGCGTAACTCTAGGATTTGAAAAACATTCCAAAAGATTTACCATCAAAAATTTTTATTCGCTGAAAATTTAAAAATAAAAAAAATTACTGATATCCACGGATGAGACAAGATTAGTTAAAAAAAAAAAATAAAATAATCGACAGTTTAACGCGAAGTGTTGGACTTCACGACTTCTTCGTTTTGTACGTTCATAACTCGACGTGCCTCAGACTTCCTTTCCTATCTGTGAATAACGACCACCGCGGACAGGTATGGAGATGAACGATATTATATCGTTATGTTATTCGTATATTGACACCGTGGCGAACGAACGGATATTACTCCGTTCGCTTTTCTGGGCTTGCATTACGTCCTTTGTCGATTATCATCCATCCCGTGCACTCATCGTCACGGTTCGGCGTTCAATACGCGTTTATCATCATATTATAAAAGGCTCCGTAACCTACTAAACCGCCTTCGTTCTCCTCCCGAGTAGATTGCGACACAGCAACACACAATAATAACAATATGTACGGTACAACAACAATAATAATAACATTATTATAAACATCCGAATAAGGTCGCCGAAAACAAATGGGATTCGTAATCTCCAATAGCATTCACGTGTACATAGGGGTGCAAACGTATTTCCGCGCGGAAACAAAACCTATCGCCGATATCCTCGCGCGAACGTAATTTAATCCGTTTCGATTTAGGACGTGGCGCTTATCGGTTAAACAGCGGATTGCATCGGCACGGACCGTTCGTATTTTTTGACTTTAAATACGTAATACGGGTAGAGGTATAATAGGTAATGCATTATTATTATTATCATATACATACAAATGGGAGTAGGGTAAAACACATCGAATCAGACCGCTCTCCGGCGTCAAACAACACGTGCCGCCGCTACGAATCTCCAGTGTACGTACAAGAATCGGCTATGTGGTAAATATACCCTACACCCCGTTTTAAGGTCCATGAGATTTCTCTCTTCACCCGTGCACGGGGGCACCCGTACTACTTGGCCGGTTTTACCCAGCTTCCAAACGGGCAGTGCTTTACGAGGTGTGTCCCTAGGCGAGCTACCACCGATGTGAGTCGGTTTTTCACTCGGCTACCAGGTTAGACTTCATCAGTCCACGATACTATCCTTGTCATTTTTTTATTTAGTTTAAGTAACCATCTGTGTTCATATTTCGTCAATAGAGTGACTAGCCTCCCAGGAGTCACCATGAGGTCTTCACCGATAGGTTTCGTCCTGCCAATGTTCGACTTTTACCACTATCGTCACTCCAGTGACCGCCACTACGAAACCGATCCCTGACTAGTTACCATGTTATCTGTCAGGCGCCTTGCCCAAGTCTATCCCATAGTACCAATTTCCCGCGTTGTTGAACGCGGACGTCTATCGGTTTGACGTTTCGATGAGGCTGAGCCGTTCCATCTCCCACTATTTTTCTTGTGTTGGACCTGGAGGGCTAGTGGCTAGCCCATTCTCCAGTGTAAGTACGATGCTGCATTATACGTGCGCCGCTGAAATATTTTACTTCCGATGCGCTTTCGCCGCAATCGAATTCTGTCGTTTTGCTCAGCGCGGCGCAGTACATCTAACGACGTCAACGGCGAAATAAATGCACCGCGTACGCATTTCGTATGGTTTTTTTTTATTTATTTTTTTTTTGTTTTTATAGCACACATATGCGTTGCAGCTCAGTACACGCGTGTGTACATTATGGCAGGACGTACATCCGAACGGAAAAAAAAATACGAAACTACGACTAATCTTGAGTAGATGTTTCTTTTTATCCCTTCAACCGCCGTGTTATTTGTTTATTCAACACACCTTTCTGCCTTCCGTCCTTCGTGTTCACGTTAATAATTAACACACGACGTCCGACCCTCGGTTTTCACCCTTGTTCGGTCCGTGTTTGTTACGGTTTGTTTGTTTTCTCTCTCTCTCTCTCTCTCTCTCTCTCTCTCTCTCTCTTTCTCTCTCCCTCTCTCTCTGTTTTTCGTTTATTACGATACTTCGTGTTATCACTAATACTCGAGCGGAATAAAAAAAAAAAAACTACGTAATCCCTGTCGCCGCGGTTCGTACGGTATAACGCTGTCGGCACGAGTCTGAGTCGGGGTCGTTGTCGCGTGCGTTCGGTTGCCTGGTGGACGAAATGGAAAAATAATCAAAAAGATAATCCAACCTTAACCTCTCTTAAGGAAGAAGAAAAAACAATCAAACAACACTACACGAACGCACGTACGTACACGCTATGCACGTGTGTGTCGCAACAATACGATTCGAACGGCCGTATTCGTTCGGTCGTTCGTTCGCCGGAAACGAAGAAAATCTCGTAGCAACACATTTTGCACGTGTACCCTACAATATTGTGCGCTCGACTAAACAGTATACGCACGTTTTTTTTCAACAATATTCCGTGTATACCCGAAGCCCCGGGTCCGTGAACATGTCCGAAGCACTACCCGTCGCCTTTTCATAACAATATCATCATACGCGTGTACAGACATATTAATACACATAATTGTTGAATAAAGTGTATAAATATGTTGTACGATCGTATTTGTACTTTGCATGTGTTTGGCTCGGGGCATTTGCAGTTGTCTTTCGGTACACGTTGCGCTCTCTGCCACTCGTCCCCGCCCGCGCGTGGATCGCACGAAAGGTTTAATCGAAAAAAAAACTTCACATCCTTTACGTTACACGGCTGCGAACATGTATACGTATTATAATAACCCAAAAATACAAAAATAGAATAAAGGAGAGAGAGTGATATATATAAATGATGGTGTTATATGTAAATGTGGGTTTTTATGATGTATTGAAGGTTGTTACCTACCTCCTTGTTTAAGGGAGGGCTCTCAGGTTGTGAAGGTTCAAGAACCGATCAGCGCAATTGAACAGTCTGCCAAGCTAAATAAAACACTTACTTGTTTTACCGTAGATATCGATGCTAGGTTGAAAAAAAAAGAACATATGCAGAATTTAATTGCACTGGAACCGGATACTCTTTAACACTCGTACGAAGAACACAAGTCGAACGGATTAAAATCAGTCAAATAAATCGCATGGATAATTTCTCTCGTTAATCTTATGATCGGTGTGCATGCACTGACGACCAAAGAACAAGAGCCTCCGTAAGGGTTGTATGTCTCTGCTATATAGGGACGTCTGTCGGCATGGACCTTGGGCCGGTCCTTTGGAGATTATTCTTTATTATTCAATTTGTGTTATCCATGCGGGTATCGAAGGAACCGTTATTTATTTATTTAAAATGGTTTAAAATCACGTACGTACGTACGTACGAATAGTATAAATTATTTTAAAATATTTGTGCCGTCTTTTACAATCGAATGATGCACATCATTACAGTATATAGAATACTACCATCCAAAGAAGAATTGCAATTGTCGTCACTGAAATCCCATTCGAATTGGATGAGAGAGAAAGAGAGTAGGAGGGAGAGGGAAAAAGGAAAAAAATTAACATTTCGTTTCATGATGGACTTATGACGCTCTACAACTATTTTCACGAGGACTCTGCGTCGATAACGTAGAAATTAAACGAACTGATCGAACTGTTCCATGAATCGTTTCCGTTTTTAATTTAGACGAACAAATTATATAGAAAGAATATTAGACACCGTTAAACAATATGGTCGCGTGTACACATCTGTTTATTTTAATCAAAATTATTATTACTCCATTACTTATAATCATTGGTGTTGTGAATTATACTAAAATTAAATTACATTATAAAAACATATTGACTTAATTAAACTGAACTGTTTGCGTTTTATTTAAAATCGTTTACGCGTATTGTAATATATATACAACGCGAATTCGTCATGTATATTAGTTTCGACCAAATATCAAAAGACCGAAATTATTTCTGAATCGAATCGCTTCTGAAAAAGTCGAAAGACATTAACTTCGTTTTATCGGAACGTGAGTGCTTAGTATAACTTTTCCAATTTCTTGTTCTAAAAATTTGAGTTTTGTTACGCAATCGTTGAAACACGGTGTTTTAAAAACGATGACGTTTTGATTAGAAATAATTCGTTGATTATTTTTTTTATTCTTATCAATGTTTTTGACATAATAAAAAAAAAACCCGTAAAAACGAAGTGCTATATACTGTACGAATTTAAAACTTTATATTCGCATGGAACGCGGATTTTAAGATAAACAATATTTTTTTGTTGTTACTATAAGCGATGGCATCGTTTAAAATGCTAATTTAACCCTCCCCGTCCCCTCTCCTGTATATTGTCGCGTTCGAATATTAGTTGACGCAACGGTTCGTAAATAATCGACCTATTCCAGTATAATGTTACACGACCGTTGTATGATTATATTTTTCGCGTTTCGATTACCATAGGCCTTTCTCCGGCCGACGACGAACAACGGGAAAACGTTCTGTTTTTAAAACCAAAAGCTGACGGTGTACTCCATAAAGTGTACGTTAATGCTCTATGCTAATTGTTGTTCGAAAAACAACCGATTCGAGAATTTTTTTTTCTTATCTGCGCATACAAGTATATGATTCGGTATCGTACACATCACATCCGGTTAGTTAATATAACATTAGCGGTACACATGGCAATACTGGTCCGAAAAAAATACACAAGTTGATCGTTTTCACATATCATCTCTCGGAAACGGTCGACGAGCTTTTCAAAATTATTTTTTTTTTTCTCGAACCACCAATAATGGTTATTTCTGTGATTAAAATACGAGTGCCATAAGCTTGTGCCACAACTTATAGTTATATACGATTTATATATTATAGTAATAAAATATGGAAAAATAAGCATTATCTCCTGTAATATTTTTGTAAATGCATTTTTTTTTTTTTTTTATTAAAAAATACGAAATTGAGTACTCTTACTTTCTTGATATGCCTCGTATAAAGATTCGTGTGAACCGCCTTGTACGTGTCCAATCCCACTGCATGCGTGTCTATAATTGTTGTTTATAAAAGTGTATTTCGACAACCGTAAATAAAATATTGTGACGAAATAATAAGTGTCGTCATTTGTTGTTTGTGCGCAGGTACTGTTCAGTCTGTACGGCGACGCGTTGGCACAACTCAACAGGCAAAGGGAGGCGGAAATGTGGCATAAGGCAGCCCTGGAAGTCGGACCGGATCACGTTCCCGCGCATTTGAGCTACGGAAAATGGCTTGCGAAAAACGTGAGTTATGGCCCCATTACTTCATATATCTTTATTTTTTTTTCGGCCAGATGACGGCGCGTCCGGGTCTAAACGCTGTGTTTATTTTTTTATTTACGACCGATAACAATCGCGCATTAAATCGCGCTCGCGGCCCGAGTCGAATAACGCAACGTTTTTGCGTTTATGTACACAATAATCGTAATAATATTGCATTATAAACTCGAAACGAGATCGAAATTAATCTGGAATTGTTTTCGACGGAGAGGCCGCTGCGATTTCGCCGACGATAGCGTATAGCATACGGCGGCAGTCGACCGATCGTATATTTACCGGTAAATGTTCCTATAAAATATCATGTTTGACGTGTCCTTTTCGCTCGGTACAGTTATCGAGCATTATTATTATTATAGCTATTACCGTCACGTCCCAACGCGTGTATGTACGCGTCGCGGTATCGGACTACTGTTGATAAAAAAAAAAAGAAAAAAGTATGAAAAAACAACGTTTGAACGGCTCCGTTCTTAATTCCCGCCGGACAATAACACGTATTGCATAATTAAACACAACGTTGATAAATTTATAATAACGAATAATGGCATTTTGAATAATTTATATGATCTGCGTGAACTTTTCACCTGTGTACAACACGCGGCAAACGGTAGTATAATTTATTTTTCGTACTCCGCAAGCCGTCATCGAATTAAATCGCGTTTCGTTGCGAGCACATGGCGTGCACACACGCGCACGTACATCTCGCACACGCGTGCATATTACGATTTCCCCGTAACATTTTACATAAACATTACGCGCGTACAGTTCGCGTCGCCGTCGGTCGGTCGAGTGGACACATAAATTATACCCTGCACACTGAATAATAACATGTTAACACTACGCGTGTATGGCAGCAGATACCGCCGTGCTGCGCGGTTCCATAAGATATACGTTTTCACCGTTTGCAACGAATACCTCGGGCGAGAGAATACGCATTAACAATAGCGATGGGAATGAAATCCGAATTCTTCGAAAATCTGCCGAATCCGGATTTTTTGATTTCAAAATCCGAGATTTGGTTTTATTATTGCGAATTTCTATATTCTAATCGTATAACTTTCACAGTACACCACTTTTTTGTCGTTATTTTAATTCTCGGACAAGATAACGGTGGTCTGAATAAAATATTCTTATAATTGATAAGTCTTACCATTATTTTTGGAGATACGACTAATAAAAACTAAAATGAATTTTATGATATCCGACATATATATATTTAATACTTCACAAAAACTTGTATATGAGATTCTTAATTAGGTTAGGTCAAAATATCATTTAACTTTGAGGATATTTAATTATTTTGTATTTACTATAAATAGTTCTTGAAAGAATACTAATTCGATGTTTTCAAATCCGAAATCCAGGTTTACAGTAAAATCCGGATCTCGGATTTCGAACTTCAAAAATCCGGATTTACAAATTTCAGTGAATCCGGATTTTTCCTATCACTAGTTATCAAACGTTTTTGAAATATATTTGTAATGAAACTGGAGCTGTTTTTGAAGCTTTGAGGAATTACTTGAATTTTTTCAATCGAAAAATAAATGCCTAATACACATATATATCGACATGTACCCAGATATTATCCTTTTGTTTCTATTCATCTCTCTATTACAGTATCATTTGAAACATAAAACGATTTTTGTTTAAAAACTGAACGTTCATGTAGTTCCGAAACTCAGATGTGATACCCTATAGTTTCCTATAAAAGTGGTGCTGATGGCTAGCAGCCGTACATATTCACTAAATTGTGGAGTACATTCAGTATTCATTCGAGTCGTTTGTTGTGCGACGGTATAAAATGAATGAACTAGACATATTAATATATGGAAAATGAAGAGTGCTCGGAGAACGGAAACCGTCGTTTAGAGGAGAGTGTGTTGATTAAAAATCGTACCACCGAGGGTGCTTTTTTAATTTTAGTACTTCATCATCTACACTGCAACAATGAAAGATTCAGGCAATATTTTCGCTTAACACCATGTACTAAGGCCACATAATGACTAAACATCCAAACCATATAATATACACAATATACCTCATTTTCGCTCGTCTAATTCGCATTTCTACTAATGGTTTTAAATTTAAGGTCCATCGCTATACCCGAAAAACGTCGCACAACTGTTTACGGCCGTTAAATAAAACTAATGGCTCCGCTATTAGACGTTCCGATTAAACTCCGCGTTATTTAGGAAACCAAAATATCTAGTTTTGATAAATAAAGTTTTCTGCCGCTGCATTTCGGCCGTTAAATAATAGCAACGTTTTTATAAGAAACCAAAACTTTAGAATTAAAGCACTTCAACAAGTTGTACCGAACAATGTGATTTAAAAAAAAAAATTTAAAAATCCGCTCGTTTGTATGTATATACATATATATATATAGAAAGAGTGTTATTTCATCCCTAATCACTTTCGCCATGTAAATTCACTCGTCTACATACATTTTGGACAGAGCGACACGTTGTTTACATCACGTGTGATAATTTCTGTGTTAAAATTCGCACACGAGTCCAAATTCTACAAGTAAAGCTGGATCGAGGGAGGGGTGATTAAGATGCTATAGCCTCGGGTCGTAAGTTGAAAAGGCCACAATGTGTGTTTAGCAAACAAATATGAAGTACTGTTTCATCAATTGATTGTGACCATACTGCAATATACATTTATATCATAATTATTTTTAATTAATATTTATTACTGACTGCTAAATCTGAATAACAAATAAAATTGTTTTAGGGTAGTAGTAATAGCCTCCTTTGTATTATGACAATAATCCGACCCTGCTTATAAGGACACGAATGGGTGGACGACTATTGTTTTGAAATGCATCTGAAATCGTATGTACGCGCGCGTGTGGGTATTGCGGGCCATATAATGAAAACGAACACATACGAACGAAACGATACTACTTCGACGCTTTCGACAACTGTTTCGTTCCCGGTTATCGTAATGTACGATCTACACGCGATATATTGCACACAAGGTCAATGTAAACGACTTATTTTATAACTTTCCACACTTACCACAAAAACCAGTAACGCTTCAAATAAGGTCCGGAAATAAATATTAATTATCAAGTTTTACCTACATTTTTCTTATTCTAGATAAATATAACACTTTGAAATCGAAACACATTTCAAACGCCTCAAACAGGTACAAAATGTTTTATACATAATAGGTTTGATAACTTTTTTGGTTATTTTTTTTCAACAATTTATTATAAAACATTTGTTTTTTAAAAATTGTGTCTGCTTTCTCGATTTATTACATATGAATTCACTCAGAATACTGTCTGAATTTTTATTAATTATCCACTTATGTCTTTTTCTATTGATATCGAAACTATATTATGAAATCGTTTTTTAATCGTAATTGATCTGTTGTAGGTTTTTATTATTTTCACTGTCGAAGAATTCGAAGAATTCCTTTTGGCTGAAACATCAAAAACTGTAATTATTTAAATTCATGTATAAACTTCTAACTCTAAAAACTATGCACCCATGTTTTTAATTATGATATATATTTCCATAGACTTTTATTCGGAAAGATTTTTCTTTCTATGTAAATAGATTAACAACACAGAAAAAATACATAGTATTATAAGAAGTACCGGTATGTATTACAGGTATTCTGCTATTCTGCGACTACATTCGCGATCACTATATAGATAAAAAATTATCTCTTAGATAAATGTAAAACACTGCAATAAATATTTTACAACAATAATTTGGCTTACAGTACTTAAAATCAAAATCAACGAATATTTTTGGTAGACAGCTACGTAGCCAGGAAAGTGTTATTTATTTACTCCGGCCCATAACATCTAGGCTACACCATTTGTAGCCATTTTTGCGTACAGTCTATCGCAACCGGTAATGACCGCACGTTCAAAGGTTCGATGAGACCGACTTTGCGGCGACCCGGACGATACCTAACTTCGGTAACGAATTCCATTTACACCCCTTTCCGACAACGGTGCACTTAAATGTGACCGTGTGGCCGATCAGGGACAATCGTTGTACGGGGGACAAGGCGTGGTGCAAACCCGGATTTATACATCATTCTACACACGGTATATTATTGTTGTCTTTTTTTATTTTTTTTTTATTTGTCTCGGACAATGTTTACGGTGTTTACGTGAGCGCACGGCATAGCATCGTTCAATCAACGCGTCGATGCCGTTGCACTTCATGTGTGTATAAATCCGACAGACGCGACTTGGTTACCGAGTGCCCACCCACCGCAAAACGCCGAGCTCGCACCGTGTGACGGTCGGTGAAAAGATACGTGTCCGCCCACGGCCCGTAAACGTCGATTCCACCGGGGCGAGACGCGATCGTGTGTGCGTTCGCGATTACACGACCAGCCGTGTGATGTATGTGTTTACCTCTGCACATCGGCACACGTACTCGGGGGGAGGGGGGTGCTCACAGGGTGCTTGGCGTACCCGAGTAATTCATTAGCAGAAATTATGAAAGGCACTGTATACTTACGTGTTCATGAGAATCGGTTTGTACCACTCGAGATGTGGAAGGGGAATGTACTAATAATGATTTTATCGGAACGTTTCGTTAAAAAATATTTCAAAGATTCAGCAATCGTTTCAACACTATGGAGGTACAAGTTTTGGCTCTATCGCTTTTACAGCTGTACCTAGATTTCATTTCACGTATTTTTTAGTCGGATTGCACACAGCAGGGGTAAATGTGGAGAATATGACCTTTTCGGATCACCTTCGAAGTTTTTGACCGAACGTGTTGTACTAATAATTATTATTTTCACTTGTGGCGTGCGTAAGCCATTGGTGTTGAGTTTCGGAACGCCTATCCATTCGTTGCTAGAAACAATAGGAAGTCAACAGCTCGCATTGGCCGTATTGCGTTTGTGTTAACATTACAAGATTATTGTTCCGTGATTCTTAACCGGTGTGTCACGTATTATCGTAGTACGGGTCGCCAAAATATTAT